CACCCTCCCCTCCCCAGCCCTGCCCACACACACCATGAACTCCACAGGGACAGGGGCCACATCTATCACTTTAATCTTTGCATGCCCAACACATCTAGAACAATGCCTCACTATCTATATCTGTATCTACATTTATGTGAATTAGTTTTTCCTAAGAGCATTTCTTATTGAAGAGAAATCATATCCTGTGGAATCTCACAGTTTCAGAAGAGTCTCCCAGGGATGGGGGGCTCAGGCTTGCATGTTAACTAGACTTACAGCAAACACAGAACAGAGAGGTTTAGCCTTACACCCCTCCCCCTACCCCATGTAAGTAGTTCCTCAACTGGAAAGGGCGCCACTTTCTAACAGGAACCCTGCCTTTGTCCCAAGCTATCCTTTCTGTAGACATAAAAATGCACAAGAAAACATCAGGAAGCTAGTTATTTTCCTGACCCTCAAAATTATTTTGCCCCTTGATGTATGTAGCACAGCACTGACATTCCTGTGACATTTAAAATTGCAAGATTTTACCAGCACTGAAGGCAGCTTAATTAACACGGGCAGCTTCAGCACCTCAAACTTGTTCAGCCTTCCAGTATCTAGGTTTTAGTTATCATCTCTGAGTATTTAGTCCCAATCCCAGAAACCTTCTATCATTTCTTAAGGAAAAACGTGAGGACATTTATTAGACTCAAATCCTCACACACACAGTAAATGCTTCTTTGCCTTCATAGACTGAATGCAAGGGTAAATGGTCGACAGTCTTCTAGAAACTGGTATATATTGTTGGGCCACACCCAGCTGATGGCAAACTGTGATTTCCTTGATAGGCACAAAGCCCATGGCAGAGCTTCTCAAAATGTGGTCAGCTACCACTCTTCCTCCTAGGTGCTTGTTAAAATGAAGATTCCCTCCTCCACCTCAGACCTATTGAATCAGAATCTCTTGCTTTGAGCCTGGAAATCTGCATTTTATCAATCTCCCCAGGTGTTTCTCGTACACACTAAAATTTAAGAATCATATTAGGGAAGCATCCTTTGCTGATCCACAAATTGCTCCAGGGAGGATTTTTTAAAATGAAAAGATAGGATGTAAACACCCTTAGAAGAGAAAAGTAGGGAAGACTGAGAAGGCCAGAAGGCAAGGAGGGAGAGAGAAGGAGGGAAGAGGGGAACAAGTGCTGGAAATAAGAACAGAAATACTGTATAATCAAGTTTTATACTTTTGGGGGCACTAACCCAGCTAACCAAAAGGTCAGCAGTTCAAATCCACCAGCTACTCCTTGGAAACCCTGTGGGGCAGTTCTACTCTGTCCTATAGGGTCGCTATGAGTCAGTTTGGTTTTTTTGGCTAACCCTAGGAGTTCTGGGAGGTTCCCTCCTCTCTCTTACCTCTCATCCGTATAGCCTGCAGGTTAAGGACAGTTGCTTTTGGGCAATTTCCTTCAAAGCATAGCTGCCAGCAGTGGCACCTACAGACTGACCAACTGCCTCAGTCTGACAGAGCTGATATTCCTAAGCATAGCACCTGAGCTTAAACCCCACTATTAATTCCCAAGTTTGAAAGCTCTGTTCCAGGACTGATAAGCTAGGACTCAAAAATCAGCCAGTGAAAATACTATGGATCACACTGGTCTGATCCCATTGTTCATGGGGCCAACTCAGTGGCAGCTAACAATAACAACAGGTCCAGGAAGTTGACTGAATCTTATATTTAGTCCCAAACTGGCAGATGGATTTACAGCAGGCAATAAGTGATAGCTCATTCAGTTCAGAGTCACTGTTTTACTCACTAAATAAATAACATTTTCCACCTCCTCTCTTCCTCCCTCCCCCCACCGACCCAGTTGCATCGTGGGCACAAGCACTTCATCTCTCCTCATATTTCTATTTGCACATATGGTACAAGGTGACAGCCTATTGATAGTAGTTTCATATTACAGACTCACAGAATTAGGAAATACTATAGCTGGCAGCAGGCACCCACTGAACCCACATCGGTACACGGTCGGGCCATTTACTTTCATCAGCACTCGCCTGAGTGGTCTGTGTGACCTTGCTTTGCAGTTGCTTATGGCAAAGCAGCCCCAGACAGTGTCATTTATGCTGGATTCTAGTTTGTTGTGTCGAGAACAAAACTGCTGCTCTTTTCTTTCTGTATACCTAGTTGTAGGAGGAAAGAGATGTGCTCTGAGCCAGGAGGGAACCAGAGCCATTGGTCTAATGAAAACAACTGAGAATTACCATTGGGTCCAAATTCTGCTGAACTGAGGACACTTGCACCTGATTTTATGATGATCTAGAATAACACACACTTGAGTTTTTTTAATCACTCCCTTCCAAATGATGCCAGAAAAATGTGCTGCCTTGGTGAATCACAGATCTCTCAATGACACTCAGCACACCTGGGCTATTATTGAAGCTTAGCTCCAAAATACTGCAATAGCCACTGGCAAAAGTGAACAAATTTATCTTTTTTTTTGTTCTTGGTAGTTTTGCTTTGTTTTCTTGATCCACAGAAACAATATTAATTATTATTAATGATCAAGAAAAAAATGGAAATTCAAATATATCTTCCTATAAACTGAAGAAGCCCTACAAAACTTCCTTTAAATTTTCAATAATTACTAATGTCTTCTTTTTTCACAATGCTGAAAAAGCACCAGACAAAAAAGCTTCTTATTTATAAATACCGTCAGTTAATCTCTAAATGTCTGTCAAACTTCCAGGCATATTGCTTTTAGTTAGCTTGTTTAGAAACACACAACTTCATCCCAACACTTAATCAGGCAACAAAAGCTAGAGGTGGGGAGAAAAATCCAGTTCTCCTGTGGATAATCACAAATGCTGGTACACTGTTGATGAACATCTGGATCACCTTAAGGGTGTTTGTGAACCAGTAGGAAATAAATTTCTGGAGAAGGCTACGGACTTAGGGATGGTTGCTTTAGTATTTAACAATAAATGGTTTTCAGTTGATAGAAAAATATTGAAATCTGACTTACATATATAAAGCTGATTCAAATTTGATAAACATGTCCCCAAAGGAAATTACTGGGTTTATTAAAAGCCTAGGAGGTTGAACAGAATTGCAATAGTCTCGAGCTATAGTTCTTGCTGAAGGTAGAGTAACTGCTCCCCAGTCCATCTTGCAGCCAACTAAAGAAGAAATAAGGAAAAGAGCAGGGATGTTCTTCATCTAAGTTAACAGTAGCTATGAACTTCCAAGATACCCCGGGCAAACCTTTGTCCACAATGTAAGTGTTGCTGCCTTGCTGGTGAAATGCGACGTGTTGATGACTGTTAGATTACATCTAAAATCCCATTTACTAGTAATAGAAAAGTTCAGTTAAGACTTTTGCCTTATGTCTCCTGGTGCTTGATACAGCGTTGTGTGATATTACCAATTTTCGCTTTAGGCTATTCGCATGCAAGAACGAAATACTTCACAAGAATTTGCACATTTGATCCGGGGTGAAATTATACCATTTTCATAGCAAATAAACTTTTCTCTGGCAGCAAAATGATAGGTACTTTTGCACCTAGAGAAACGCTTTTGTTTTCAAGGAATTTTGGAGAAAAAATAAGTTCTGTCTTTATGGGGACTGTGGTCAAGTCATTCTAAGGAGAAGCCTGGCAGATCAGAGTCCCACTGGCTGGCCCACTTTCCAACTGGGAGGGTCCTTAACCCTTCTTGTTTCGAGCTTCTTGTTAAAAAAAAGAAAAAGACAAAGAAAAATGGGGATCACATGCAATCTTTTTTTCCCTACATGTCACAAAGCTGCTTTGGAATACCCTCACATCTATAACATTGCAAAAATTCATAGAGAAAATGTCTGCAAAGGGGCAAACTGCTGTTGATGTAACATGCTGTGAAATTTCACCTCAGTGTGCTTTGCTTTTAGTGGTGTTGGAGGCAGCAGGAATGCATTCATGCAGCTAGCTGTACCCATCTGCAGACTGGGAGTAAATAGCAGGCCTTTTGCAGCAATTACCAAGAGCCCCCTTCAGTAGAAATGATCTACTGCCTTCCTGCATCACATTAAAGAGGCTGATAGAGGAGCAAGCGCGGCTGAGCCATTCTGTACATACCTAGTCAGGTTGCAAAAAAATTTATATTCAGACAGAGCTATGAGCAGCTTTCAGAGGAAGAGAGGGAGGAAGGGCATTTCTCTGAAAAATTTCCACCAGGAACAGAAGCCAAATTTTAATTTGTCTCTGCTTTTACAAACAAAAAGATTCTTTATCTCAGGAAGAGATTAACAGGTAAGTTCTCTTCCTGTATGCTACCTAAGATTGCTAAGGATCACCTTCAACCTCTTTTTTAAAAAAATAATCCTTACATGATTTTTCTTGAAAATTTACATATCTCCTTCCCTAAGTTTCCATACTGAAGACATAGTCTACAACTTTTGCTTACTGACCAATCTGTCAAGAATTTTCCATCTTCACTCTCATGAACAACATCTAATCGTGCCCACAAAGGGTCCTGCACTGTTACCACAGGCCAAACTGAAGAGAAATTAGAGGAGTAAAGAGAGATTCGCGTGGCATTCTGTGGCCACCAGCCATTTCATTTTCACTCAGTAAACGTAGGATTTAAACATGGAGGTTCTGAAAATATGGTGACTGAGCCAGACAAATGTCAGTTTGGATCAAATTTGGTGTTAGGTGGTGAAAGAATCCATTTTACTATCAAATGTTATATATGTATGAGCTACTTGACCCCACTAAATCATTTTTCGATAATAACTAATAGTTTACATTTTTTCTTTTCCTGGAAGAAAATATAGTTAAGATAGTCACCTTACTGGCATTACTTTGCCTAGTTTTGTTGGCTTTCCAGGAACAGATTTGAGGCATCAAATGCCAACTATACAAAATGTATAAGGTAATAGCTTTTAAAGAGACTGCATGAAATTAAAACAGATAAACAATTATATTGTAACAAGCATATAAATATGTACAGAGAAGCTATAACAGTGAAATGCAACAAAAATAGAATGGTTCTTAGAGGAATTAATTGCATAGATGTACCAGAGATAGCAGCTTCGATGATGGAGACACCACGATGTCTGTGGCCTGAGGGCCCTCCTGCCTTCGGATTCTGGCATAATTGGCTCTGACCTCCATCAGTTGCTTTAACTCTGTTTAAAAATAAAGATTTTTTTTTTTTTTTGAGAGAGACAAGTCAATGTATTTATAGAAAATAATTAAAAGCCCAGGATGATGAAAAACTTGAAGATCACTTAGAAATCCTTGGCTCCCACCCTGGACTCTTTAATTACACACTTGACTTGCTTATCATATCAGATACGTGTTAACATTCTTTGGATTTCTAGAGAATGGCAGTTGCTAGGGAGGGCTTCCTTCCAGGATTTTTTTAAAGCCTGGGTTGGAAGCTAACCTAAGAGTGGTCTAAAAAATGAACCCACTAGAAAGATGAAAAATACAGCAGTGAGAACAGTGTTCAGATTTGATGGCAAATGGCATAAGGCGCTTTTTTAATTTTGTTGGGGGTTTGTATGAAAGGAACCATTCTAAAAGCATTAGGTTTCTTTTGCTAAATCAAATTCATTTTTCAAAAAATCTGTGTGATTCTTTGATGAACTAATGTCCACATGCTAAACGTTTTTGCATTATAATACAATCATAAAATAAGTTACTACAGAATGCTTGATTTTGAAACTTCTAGGCTGTCTTATTTTCTTGCTACATAGTTAAGCCAATAGATCACAGAAAAATGATGAGTGGAATGATGGAATGGTTAATTAGTTAAATGTCCTTTTATAAATATACATGTGCTAGTGACACTTCTCTCTTGACCTTTTCAAAGCACACTGAATATTTACATTTCTACAAAATGATTATTTCTAACACTTATCAGGAAAAACAACACAATGGCAACCAACATAGTAAAATAAGTTTCTAAAGAGCAACTAAATTAGATTCTGCAACCAATCACTTATGTATCACTTACTGGAAAGAATTTAGACAATTAGGGAAAGCCATTAACCCTTTTACTGTGAAGATAATATGGGGGACCTATTTTCATAGGAAAGAAATCAACATCCATATCATAGTAATCCATGTGGTTACAGACTGAGGATGCAAAAATGAGCCCTCGTCTACAAAGCCTTGTTAGGTGGAAGAAAATGGTAGGTTGAGTAATATTTGCATTTCCAACTTTCTCTCTTCCCTTCACAGTTTTTATTGGTGACAGGCTTGCTTCTGGGAAGGCAGCAGACATTTCTCCCTATGTTTTGGATACCCTTTTGGCTAGGTTGCCTGAAGCATACTTTAGCTTTATTTATCAGATAGGCCCAATGAACACAAGAGGCATGGAGAATGGTGTCCAAGCAACAGAAGCCCATCCAAAGAGTATAAATGACTAAGGATAAGTAATTGAGGACTGGGAAGGTACCTCCTATTGCACTAACTGTTTGCTTAGTATTCAATTGTGTTGCAGTCATTTCAAGCGTGCTCATATCCTTAAACAGACTGAAAACTCTAAAAGGCTATGCATTTTGGGAACACAGAAAACTGCCAGCTACTACTGACTGATAAGAACCCCATCATTGGTGTAATCTTCTAAGTAACAATATAGGGAGAGTCAACAAGAACGGGGTGATGGCTAATCATGGGTGATGGGGACAGATTGGAGCTTCTCCCTTTATGTAAGGTGGTGTTGGAGGACTATTTGTAGCATCCCTAAGAACAGTGCTAAGCATCCCAATAAATTTTTGTCTTCCTATTTTTTGGGTCTTCATTTCTATACTTTTGTACATTCCCGGCTAAACATAAAGGTATGATTGGGACTGCTTTAAAAGTGTTTGGTTTACTTATATGTAACATGGAGATAATAATTTTATGTTGAATTCTTAAAAGAAATAATCTAGCATCATAATTTTAGGGATGCCAGGCAATTCACTTCCTAATCTTTCACTTTCCTTTAAAATGATATCAAAGTTCTTCAAAATTTCCTGAAAATTATGTCATTGCTAATGTATAACTACCTACAGAAGGGGCTTTAAATTCTTCAAAATAAATAGGATAAGGGCCAAGAGCTGATTCAATAACAAATACATGTTCCTTTTAATTTCTGTGATTTATCACACAAAATAATCAAAGAATAGACAAGATAATAAAACCAGCATATATTTACATATTACTAAAGAAATCTAAAAATTGTACAGTTACAATTAATAACACATTAAGGGTTAAATAACAGCAGATCCTTACTTTCCTCAGGGAAATGAGGCCTTTTTAGTATTTCTGCAAATAAGCCCCTTGGATAAGGTTCAAGACTAACTGAACTTAGGTTGAATTCTTTGGAGCAGACAGTGTTAACGATGAGGTGCCAGTGCATAAATATACAAATTTAACTTTAGTCATATGGGAGAAGACAAATGTGGGGGGAGGATAATTATTAAAAATCATCATAATGGAATACAAAACTAAGTATGTAGGCTCTTTGAACAAAAGACTTGATGTTTTAACTCTAAAAACTTGATGGAAAAGAAACTTTTACCCATACCTTTCTGGGTTACAAAGCCATGTCCCATGGACACACAGATGACCATGTCTCGCTCTATGTCGCCCCACGACTGAATCTGCGCTCCGTCTGGGGTGTACAGCGTTCTGGCTGCGTGGGCCATTTTGAGACGAGATGAGCAGTCATCCAGCAGCTGAAACACCAAGGGACAGCCACAGTGGAACGTGGAATGTCACAAAATAATTAAGTATTAAAGAATCAACTCATTTAAGAGAGCTATTATCCCAACTTGAGTATTTATTCCTTGAAACTGCTAGAAACAGGTATAGAGGGAGATGGGAAGAAAGGTATAGAAATGTTCCCTAAAGTGTTTAAATAATGAGAAACTTTAGTGCTCTTTGATGGAGTTTTCCTTGTAGTTCTCTATTTTTCTACGTGACACAATGCTTCTTGCTGTTTAAGAAAGAAGTACTCATACTTAGGGGCTTAGGGAGCGTTGGAGCTTCTGTTAAGGGTGATGGAAAATTCTGGAAAAGGACAGTGGTGATGGTTGCACAACATGATGAATGTAATTAATGTTACTGAATTGTATGTGCAAAAATGTTGAAATGCCAAATATTTTGTTATATATATAAACCCGATGCTGTCAAGTTGATTCCAGTACATATATATATATGTAAGTAAGTGTGTGTGTGTGTATATATATATATATATATATGTATTACATATGTATATATGGATTGACACAGTGGCTACAACAATGGGCTCAAGCATAATAGTGATTGTGAGGATAGTGCAAGACTGGGCAGTGTTTTGTTCTGTTGTACATAGGGTCCCTATGAGTCAGAACTGACTTGATGGCACCTAACATATATATATGGAACCTAATATATATAAAACACAATTTAAAAAATCCTGAATATAATTAACTCTAGATTGAGGATGCAGACTTGTCATAATTGCTCAATGAAAAAATTTTGGGGGCAACAATCAAGGAACTAGAATGATAAAATCACTGGCCAAGAGGTGGGAGACCTGAGGTCTGGCCTCTGTGTGACCTTGAACAAGTCCAGCAACTTCAAGAAGAAACAGTCTCCTCAACTATAAAATGAAAATTTGGGACTAAGGAACCCCAACCCTACCCCCAGCTCTATGAGTGTATGATCAGAAAGTCTTTTTTAAAAAATTGGCAAAATTTGAAACTATCTGGAGAGGTCTTATTGAACTTATCTTAAATTTCCCATTAAATACTCATAAAACACTGTACGGATGCAAAGTGTCAACGGGACCAGAAAGATTAGTCAACATGCAGCCAAACTCCTGAGGGAATTTCCATTAAAGTGTGAATAAGGCTTTAAGGCAAAATAATAGCAGCAAGCAGAAAGAAAGGAAGAGGTTTCTACACACTTCCCTGCATGACTTTTACCTGTCAGAGGGCCAGAAGCCCATTCCCCAAAAATATAGGTGGCAAGTATACATCAGTCCCAAACCACCGTCAGCATTTCTTTTTATAAATCTATTTAGGGACTACGATTCACATCAATGCAGCATGGTAGAGGGCAGAACTGGACCCATGATGACACATATCTGGTAAAGGAATCAGTAGCATGGAGCAACAACATGAACAATGCAGCAATGCAATTCAAAGAGGGCAGTTTTTTAGCCCACTATTTTGAGCAAGAGAAGAATTAAAAATGACTTGAAATTATCCAAGAATACATCCTCTTCTGTAGTATGAAATAATCAGAAATAATCAGAGAAGTACAATGAGAGAGTGGTCTTAAATACAGCCCTATGCCTTCAGCTACACAGCAGCCAATCACCAGCAATTTGACTAAATACTGTGCTTATGAACAAGCCCTCCAACATAGATCTAAGAGGAGGATTCTAAAAGCTTCCAAGTAGATATTCAGTGGACCAATGAGAACTGACTTATCCTGTCTACTGTCAAAAGATCTCTCTTGTACAAAGATGTATACATAGCACAAATCAACAATAGCAACAATGTGACACTTATGAAAATATTCTACAACACAAAAGGGATACTTTGTACTCAAGGTGAAGATTTAGAAAAAAGATTTATTGCAGGAGTATGTTTTAGGGAGTATCTGTGTTTCCCAAATATTCAATAAAATATGACTTCATGAAGAAAGGAAAATTCTCTGAAATGAGAAAGGACAACAGCTGAAAAGAAAGGAGAGTTATAAGAGACATGCCTTAGACTTAAAGACATAAACAAACCAAAACTCAAAGGATGAAAAAAATATATTAAGCAAACAACACTAAAAAAAGAGCAGGGGTGGCAACATTAATCTCCGGCAAAATAGACTTTAAAGTAAAATCTACCACAAAGGATAAGAAGGACACTATATAATGATTAAAGGGTCAATACACCAGAAGGACATAACTATACTAAATATTTATGCACCCAACTACAGGGCTCCAAAAAAATAAAAGAAACTCTAACAGCATTGAAAAGGGAGATAGACAGCTCCACAATAGTAGTAGGAGACTTCAGCACACCACTTTCGGTGAAGGACAGAATATCCAGAAAGAAGCTCAACAAAGACATGGAAGACTTCAATGCTGCAATCAACCAACTTCATCTCATAGACAAATACCAAACACTTCACCCAACAGCAGCAAAATATACTTTCTTTTCCAATGCACATGGAACATTCTCCAGAATAGAGCACATATTAGGCCATAAAGCAAGCTTTAACAGAATCCAAAGTATCGAAATATTACAAAGCATCTTTTCTAACCATAAAGCCATAAAAATAGAAATCAATAATAGAAAAAGCAAGGAAAAAAAATCAAACACATGGAAACTAAACAACACCTTGCTCAAAAACTACTGGGTTATAGAAGAAATTAAGGATGGAATAAAGAAATTGATAGAATCAAACGAGAACAAAAACATATCCTACCAGAACCTTTGGGACACAAGCAAAAGCAGTGCTCAGAGGTCAGCTTATAGCAATAAATGCACACATCCAGAAAGAAGAAAGGGCCAT